GATGGTGAGTACATGTGGTGCTTGTCTTTTCATTCTTGGGATACCACTCATATATTTTTAAAATATTTTGAGAATTTTATTTTAATATAATGAGAATCCTTTGTAACTTTATGAATTTCATTTATGCATTCAAAAACATTATTCTAGAAAGAGGCTCCTAAACTTCATGAGTGCCTAAGGAGTCCATGGTATATACAAAAGGTTAAGAACTCTATATCTACAGGCTATTGGCCAGTAAAGCACCTTTAAAAATGCTGATGAAGATTGATATTTTGATCTTAGTGTGCACAAAGCTGATCTCTCAGTAATTAACTGAGAAAAGGTTTTTGGAGAAATTAGGTATATTGTAATAGATGTATATTTACATATCAATCGTTCTTCTTTTATTAATTTCTCTAACAAAGCCATCGTTTCCTTTTCTATCTTCATCAGGTGATTCACTGCTGAAATTCTACCTTTTTCCTGTTACTTTAGCTGCCACATACGATAGAAAATGTCAGTCTATGTTTGCTAATTCAGTGCATTCAGACAAATGCCGCATGTATCTTTGGGTAAAAAATTTTCTCAAGCCTAAAATACATGATTTATAACAGTTTTGCAGTGAAAATGAGAGGATTCACTTAAAATTGATTTCTATTAGCCCTAATTATACAGTACATTTCATAATAAGACTTGCAAAATCTCAGCTTAGGAACAAAAAACTCTAAGTAATAAATTGTCACTACAATGATCAGTGTGCCAAATTTAATTCACAGATAAATAAAAAGAAACCTTGAAAGTCAAGCACAAGTCTAGTGTGAGTGTAGGCATTAGTATAACCGTGGTAGTTAAGAGATGAGCCCTTACAGTATATTTCAGAGATCTTGCTGCCTTTATAGTAAAGAAGTTCATCAGCTCGCTCTCTGGTTCATGGTCAACTGGTACCTACCCTCTCTGGAAAGAGAGACAGTACCTACTGATATCAGCTGACCTAAATGCCTCGCACCATAATTTCTTTTTCAGAAAAGTTGGCTCTTGCTTAGAAGCTTCAACAGTGTACTGAATTGTCCTAATCCCTGTCACTAAAGGTGGCAGTCATGCACTCGAGAATGATGTGAAAAAACTCCAGTGAGAGTGATAATTAAACTTGGAAAATGAAGGGTCACCTTCTTTCATTCAGCTTATTGGGCAAACCCATCACAATAATTCCAAAACAGTGGGAGATTGTCTAGTCGCAGCATGGCAATATCTAGGTGCATGCATATTATTTCTATGGGTTCAAATGGGAATGCCACTTTAATTGTATTTAAAATGTTATCTTTGATATGGGGAGTAAAAATGTTAGAAATTAGTTCTAAGAATACAGAAAAAGAATAATGAGTATAATCTAAATGGGGAAAGAATTAGAAACAAGAAAACAATGCATTGTTTTCTGAGAAGAAAAAGCATTGTAAGTGAAGAAAATTGTTGCTAGGGAAATTGAAAAGAACATTTAAATGTCTCTTCTTTCTACTTGACCATGGAATCACAGAGCAAGGGTTTCATCTCAGTTTTCTTGTCCACTTACTGTCATTTCTTGGTAGTCATTATTATAACACCTTATTCCTGCCGAAGAGAGGGCAGAAAGTATTATGTGAACTTAAGAAAAGCCATCGGTGGATATTTTCCAGAACAAAAGATTTTTTTCAGACACATTGGCTTATCTAAATACTATTGAAACAATTTTGAGAAATTACATTGCATACTGTTCTTACGTTGCATTAAAAAGTATTATAATATTGAATATTTAAGGACAACACAGGCAGGTATACTAGAGAACACTACTATTGCACAGAAGCATAGATGCTAAAAGTAAATTTCAAGTTCAAATTCAATCTTCAATATATATTAGCTGTGTAACATTGGGCATGTTACTTAACCTCTGTGTGCCTCAGTTTTCTGATCTATGTAATGGAGAAAATAATAATACCTATATTATAAGTTTGTTGAATGGTCAAATGAGCTTAAAATATATAAAGCTTTTAGAACAGTGCCTAGCACAAAGTGTGTGTTATGTAAATGCTCACACTACATTATTATTATATTACACATTCAGTACCTAGCATAATAATATTATAGACCAAGCTAAAAAATATATTATTTCTTTTTATAGTTGACCATTTTTCTTGTCCTTGTTATTCTGAGAAAAGCTTCCCCAAAGATGTGGGTCCTTTAAAAAACAAATAGCTCAGTATAATTGTTATATAGTGTTAGTTGTATAATGTGAAAATAAAGATAACTGAAACTTCAAGCTCAGAAAGTAAAAAACTCACAATGAGCAGAAGCTATAGATTACAGTGGGTCTTGATAGTTCCTTTCAAATCTAAAAGGTTGTCTTGAAGAAGATAAATCGTATTTTTCTATGTGGTTATATTTTGTTTCAAGTTAAGAGAGAATTTTTAAACAATTAGAGCTATCTAAAACAGAAAAGAAACTTGATTGGCTAGACAATAGTGTGCTATCTAAATTCCTTTGTACGTTTGTAGGCAAATATCCACAAATTTCATTAGATTTAAAAATATTTATCATTAGAATACTTAAGTATTCTTCTTTGTCTTTGGAAAACATGTATATGTAGGTAGAAAAATCTCTTCCTCAACCTTCATTCACTATTAGCTCATTGAAAGAAAGAATGAGAGAGAGAGGGAAAGAGAGAGAGAGAAAGAAAGAGAGACAGAGAAGGAGAGAGAAGGAGGGGGAGAGAGAAAGAAAGGGAGAAGGGGAAGGGGAGGCAGAATGAATGAATGACATTAAGGATGGTATTAAAGATTACCCTAACTGGACCATTGATGGGGAAGTACTATCCTTTATATTCAAGCCTGATTTTACTGCAATATTTGAGCATGGTTCTTTAAAAGGGCAAAAAAAAAGGTTTTATAAAAGATAGTTGACTCATTTAGTACAAAGATGTTAAAATTATTTCCCACTGAAAAATATAAATAAACTACATAAGAAGATACTGTGCTTTTGCCTCAGGTTTATATTTAAAGTGATTTATAGTCTGCAATTTCTTCCTAAGGTCATCACCTTCATAAATACTAGCCGCATACAGTGAAAACCAACTCAATAAAATGAGTATTTTATTTCTCTTCCTTCTGCTTATGTAGATACTTCTTCCATCTACGTGGCATCCATTTATAACAAAGCCTCGCATTGTGCGGATTTTTATGAGTTCTTGAGCTTTTCTTTCTTTTTTATCTTTCTGTGCATCAGCAAAACAACTGGCAGATTCTTTAATAAAATATATTATACACATTAATATTTATAAGCCTATGAATTGGATGTTTAAATAAACATTTACCAACTTATGCCAATTCTCTTGTTTTAGATGTTAAATCACACTTACATTGTCTGGAAAGTCAGCCTTTAGTTCAGTGACACTTTGACACCAATATGCAGCTGTTTTCTCACTGATGAGCTCAATATTCAGGAAGGAGCTTTGTCCAGGGCCATACATGGGGCCAGAGGTGGTCCCCCGGATGATTCTGGGTGAAACATTTGTCACGATGTCCTGATGAAAGAGTAAAGATATTGGGTCTCCTTTTGACAAAGAAAACCTATGATCTTTATTATATGCTTATTTCCATATGACAATATTTTACCAAGTCCCTTCTCAGCATTTTTAATCTACTTTATAGTTGAACACAAACTTACTTCCAAATAAAAAGGTAAAATATTTGTTAGCTTTATCTAAATTACTTCCTGTAATTCCAGATTTAGCATAATGAAAAAAAATGTTTATATTAATTAACACTGGTTTGGGGCATACTCATTTTAATTTGTTTGCAATTAAACAATGAATAAAAACGTGATAGGTAAAATATAAAAAATATCATTTCAGTCTATTTAATCTAAGTATCTTCAATCACAGTTTAACTCCAATAAGAGTTAATGTTCGTAAAAAGTATACATACGTATATATATTTTCTTAAAATGTAATTCCATTGTAAATCAGCCACGGAATACATATTAATATTACCAGCTCATCAAACTTTAACACATATTCTAACAAACTAACTGGATCAAATTGCCTATGGTATTGTAACTATATATTCACATTCAATGAGAAGAAAGTCATTTTTCCCAAGACTGAACTGAGTATATCAATAACTTCCTGATAACTATAAACAGTAAACAGTAAAATTAACTTGCTTGTTAAGTATAATTAACAATCCACAACTGCTTCTAAAGCTGTATTAACAAAGAGGAGTAACATTCTTCCATTACTTAAAACTAAAAAGAAACAAAGAAAAAAATGTTTCTTTTGCCAACTTCCAATTAAAATTAATTTTGAGTAAAGGTCATTTAGTTAAGGATTTATCAGAATTAGTCATTTAAGTACCCCTCCTCACCATCTTGTCACTTTTAGTAAGATAACATGAGCCCCCATTAGTATATAGCAATTAAGGTCAATTTACATATTTTAATTAAGAACCACCCCATATAAAACAATTAGCGTAATAGGCATACTAACTGGATTTCATAACATTTGGACGTTTTTCCAACTAGATAGACAGGAAACCTTAATTAGCATTAATTAGTGCTGATCTGCATATGTTTGATAAGGCATACCCTTGCCACAAAAGATTATTTATTCCTGAATCTGCCAAATGCTACAGTTGCAGAGGATAAAAGGACTTTTCTTCACATTGCATGTTAATTTCTGGTAATTTACATCCACTTTTACATTCGAATTAGTATATTATAAAATAAATGGTATAAATGTTACAATAAGCCTCCTTAAATATGTACATTTTAACTTATAGGAATCATGCCAGTTAATTTTTTACTAATTAAGCCATTCTACTTCTATTGTAACTGTGTGCAACATCGCCAGCCTTGCTTTGATTTGCTATTGTGAAACCATGTTCCCCAATCCTAATGGGTAAAATGACAAATAGAGTTACTCCAGGAAGCTCAAGTCTGGTGGGTCAAATTGCCATCTCGGCAAATGCTTAAATGTAGGTTCTGCATTTCTGCAAATGGCTCTGTGGCTCTGTGTAGCTTACCTGATAGGTACTACTCTGGTGTTGTCATGGTCTGAGAAGACAATTCTAGAAATGTTTCACCCAAATGAGGCTAGTTTTCTTCCATGTTCCAATTTTCAAGATTCATATCCTTTAAGCCTTGAGGTCCTCCTTTCCTCTGCTTTACCCTCAACTCTAAATGCTCTCCACCTAGATAAACCCAGTTGAGGCCACAAGTTGTTCCCTGTATAGGAGTATTTGGCCAGGGTGAAGAGTAGAGTCCCTGTTTAGTTCACCAAGCCATGTGCCCTGGAACTGGGTAGTTCTGCAAATGATGTGACACCTGGTTTAAATGACCATTTTGTAATTCATTGATCTGGCAGCAGCATTTTCTGCTTATTCAACAAAACTGATTCCTGTTAGCAGGGTCACTACTCCTTAAGCAATGCTAATATGACGAAGTATTAACCTCTTGTTAGGAGTGTCCCATTCTTCAGATCTTAGCTTAGACTTCAGTTCCTTTCAGAAGCCTTTCTGTTCTCTCCAACTCCATCAAGTCCTAATAAGATGCTCTGACTCATGCTACCATAACAATATTTACCTTCCTAATTGGCATGTTTACTACCTTTTATTGTGATTGTCTATATTCTTGACTGTACCTTCCACTATAATGTAAGATTTGTAAGGGAAGAAACTATATCTTGTTTACTAGTTATATGTGCGGCTTCTAGCCTGGCCTTTAGTAGGTGTTCAAATAATGCTTGTAGAATGGGTCTAAGGCAGTAGAATAGGTCTTGTCCCAAAATATGGGAACCAAAGGCCTTTATTGCTGGCCTCATTCTATTGCTGAACAGTCCTTAGATCCTTTCCTACTAGTCCATTCCTATAGAATTGGGGTTCTTACTTGCTTCTTCTAATCCCTCAGGGACCCCTTCTTCTGCAGCTCAGTAGAGTTCCCTCTTCATCCCCCACCATGGCTAGATCCTGGTACCAGAGTGCTGTGGCACAGACTGCCCACTACTACACACCTCCCCATCCCAGCTGCTGTGGAGCCTCCATGACAGGAAGCATGCTTCAACTTCACCACACTGTAGTATCTAAGACCTTCCTGATTGCTGGCCCTAAACTGCTGGGTGCAGCTGATCTCTATGATCCAAATAGAGAGGCCCCACTCAGATACAGTCCAACTCCTAGGCTTTTCTGTTTCACGTGGATGTAAATTCTTTACCTGATCCATGGACATCGAGGGTACTTCTTAGCTGATGAGCCTATTAGAATCTTAACCAACTGTAGTTGCCTCTTGTGTCTGTGTTGTATGCTATGCTAAGACTACATCTTCAGAAAATGTGTAGGAATTTTTTAATATCATAAAATAAAAAAGACACAGAACAGAAGTTTCTCCGATACTGAATAAGGAAAAACCTCATAATCCAGGAATTCTGGGCCAAATGCTATTTACAGTAACCCTCCTAATAACAATTAGGCCAGCAACCCACAATAGCCAAAAAGAGCCAATAAGCTAAAAATATTTAATTGGAGAACAGTCAAGAAAATACTTCTTTAGTAAAATGTTCCCCCTCAGTGATACCTCAAAACCTAAAATTTCAACCTTAAAGGATATTTTCTTTGTGCATTGTGAGTTAAGTTTCTTATTAATGCTAGATTGTTTTATTCTCTTCCATAATCCTGTGTTACAGTATAAATATAACATGGGAGGGTTGTCAATGGTCTCCTTAACCACAATAAAAAGTGCAGGAAGTACCAACCAAATCAAAGGGGTTTTGCAAACCCTTCTCCAGATATGGAAGCAGTCCGCAACCTTTTTGGCACCAGGGACTGGTTCAACGGAAGACAATTTTTCCACAGACCAGGGGTGGATGGGTAGAGTGTGGTGGTAGTGGTACGGGCTGTTCAGAGCTCAGGCAGTGATGCACGACCCGTTTCCTAACAGACCACACACTGGTACCAGACCTGGGCCCTGGGGGTTGGACACTGCAGTGATAGAGTTTGTTTCTTTAAACAGGTCAGTTTTCTCTTTCCTTAATTCAAGCAAACATAAAAGTCTTTATAACTACCCAAATTGCAGGTGCCTACTGGTGTAGAACTTAACTATCAGTGAGTCAATTGTTAGCAATTAGAAATTAGAAATTTAGCAGTTAGAAATTGAAAAATGTAACATTCTCCAAGTTAAAGTGGCAAAATTCCAATATATTCACCCAGTAATAATTTTATTCTAGGTTTTCTTTCCCAAATTCAGCCATGTTTGCTACTGCTTTGCAAAAAACCTTCTTCACTGACTTGAAACTTCTTAGAATTTTTAAATTAAGTGAAAGATAAATGAAAACATGGATACAACCAATTATCGTTGGTTATATGAGTAGAGTTAGAGTTTCAATAATTGGGCAATAACTTACTAAAGCTTTTGACCTGGGAATACTAGAATTTGAGCAGATTTCATAAGAGTATTTTGCTTTAATATTTAATAGCTAAGTCATATTAGCATTGCTTAAGGGAGTTAATATAACAAAATAAACATATTCAAAAATAATTAGAGTATGTAAGAGTTCATTCTTTATAATAAAAAAAAGGTAAATTGCCATATCTCTAATCTTCAGTGCATTAACAATATTCAGATTTTTAAAAATAGATGGTATAGAAAAGGAAGTGTTAGGTGATATCTCTCTGTGATATTATAACTACCATTATAAAATCAAGTGTTAGTGATCTCTGAACATTTCAACTGATGATAATGATTTCTCAGCATCAGCAAAGAGATTCAAATGGAAAACAGATTGATTATATTTATTTGTTTAAGTTCATCTACTTAAATTCTTTTATTCTAAAAAGTTATGTTTCCATGGTTACTACAGAATTAAGATAGTCACAATGGCCACAAAAAATAGAAAAAGAATACCTTGGTAAAAGACTAGATGAAGAACTGGGTCCAATAAAGTTGGAAGCAAACAAAAATAAATTTGCAGAGTGAATCACAGCTACATATACCTCAAGGAATGAATTTTATAAACATGTTGAATGAAAAGAGCAAGTTATAGAAAAATATATAGAAAATGACACATAAAACAAAACAATTGTTTAGTGTCACATACTTATGTGATATAACTATAAATAAAAGTAAGGGACTAACTACAAATAATTCAGAATAGAGGTTACCTCTTGCAGTAGGTAGATGCTGAGAGAGAAATTGGGGATGGCGGAACAAGGTGGGCTTTTCAAAAGTATTAGTGATATATAATTATATAAAAGCTTTATTTCTGAACTGCATAAGTGCATGGTAGAATGAGAAATATGCTCAATGAGCTATGTGGTAGTGTAGTGCATATTATTATGAGCTGTAGAGAAAGTTTTGTCAGTTTACCTGAAAACCTGTAACAAATACCTAAGAGATATTTGTTCCTTTTTTAATTTCCAAGAAACTGCTGTGAATTGTTTTTGTTGTCAAAAAATTTTTTCAATTATGTGGTTTTATAAATCAGGATTTCAAAAATGAAATGCACTGCAGGACAAATTGATACCACATTCCTAA